TTTTGAGGACATACTGGGTTTGGGCAGCCTGGGCTTGGGCTCTATTACCTTCATGGCACTAAAGCCACACAGGCAAAGACACCTGATATCTAATCTCACAAATCACACACAAAATTTATTTTAAGATACTACATCGTATGTGTCTGTTGTGCTGCAGAATTATTACCAACCCCCAGAAGTAGCAATTGATGAAGGAGATTCTTGAGATTAGCCTCACAATCAACAACATGAGATTAGCAACCCAGAGTCAGACAATGGAGCTGGCTTAGACTCCAGCCATAGGGCCAGAATGGATGTGGAACTGGGATGCAGCCCTGAATAACATGGAAAGACTCCTCAGAGACATCATAACTGCCCTGGGCCCTAAGTGTATGGACCCCCACTAGCCCATGGCTGGTCAGTGCTGCACGGGAGTACTTTCACAACAACCCTTTCTCTTCTCTTGCCTGGAACTGATAGCTTGCCTTCCCAGTCTCTTCCAATTGAGAATAGAGGGCCCATCCCTAACCCTTGTGCCCCGGTGCTGCCCACCTCCAAGGATATCAGTTCCAGAGGAGAGTTGACCAGAGGATGGAGGATGAGCCAAGTACACCCAACAGTCTCAAACACCTGTAGATCCACGGAGCTAGCCTGGGGCAGCAAAGTTCAACAGCCCAGAAATGCACACATTCCTGCAGATCTCTGCAATCCCTAGGATTCTGCAACTGTTCTGTCTTTGAGGACAGCCTGGGCCTGGACAGCCTGGGCCTGGGCTCTGCCAGCTTCATAAAGCTACAGCCACAGGTACAAAGACAGATGATATCTAAGCACACAAGGCTGTCATAAATCACAAAGAACCCCTTGTTCCAAGATAAAATATCTAGTGTTCCTGATGTGCCACACAATCATGACCAACCCCCAGAAGTAGCAATTGATGAAGGGGAACCTTGAGATTAGCCTCACAATCAACATGAGGGAGACAATGGAGCTGACTTGGAGTCCAGCCATGAAGGCAGAATGGATGTGGAACCAGGATGTAGCCCTGTGAAACATGGAGAGACTCTCCAAGGACATCATGCCTATCCTGGGCCCTAAGTGGCCCACCATGGCCAGGTCAGTGCTGCATTCTCTTCTCTTGCCTAGAACTGTCAGCTTGCCTTCCCAGACACCTCCTATTGAGAATAGAGAGCCGATGCCTAGCCCTTGTGCCCAGGTGCTCCCCACCTCCAAAGGTTCCCGTCCCAGTGAAGAGTTTATGAGAAGATGGTGGATGAGCCAGGTACACTCAACAACTATGGATCCATGGGGCTAGCCTGGGGCCAGCAAAATTCAATAGCCCAGAAATGCACACAATCCTGAAGATCTCTGCAATCCCCCAGCTAAGGCAGAATGTGATCGCAACACCCCTCTTGCACAGCATGATACAGCCATGGACCAGAACCCTGATTTTGCTGCTCAGATGATGGGGAATATGTTGATTTTCATGAGGATTGCCCTGCTTAGCCCCAGCTGAAGGAGCAGCTCAGCCTGCAGCTCCCTGTTTTTCCACAGCAGAAGCAGAACAAGGAGTCCTTCTCCATCCTCATCAATCCCTGCATCTTACAGGCCTTACTGCAGGCCTTGAAGAGGCTTGTTGGCCGTTCCACCAGCCTTGGCTCCTTTGGGAAGTCCTAGACACTAGCACCATGGACAGGCAGCAACGCTGGGACTGTAACCGAGGTCCCACCTCCTCACCAGCCATGCCAGCCACATGTCCTCCCACAGGAGTTCCCACTGCCCAACAGCAGCTCATGAACAAATGATCCAGCTTTTGGCTGGGAGTGCAAACTCACTCATGCCAATGCCAGAAGGGAGATTCCATCAGCATCAGCAGCAACTCCACTCCATGGGCTTCCTCAATTCTGAAGCTATGTGCAAGACTACAACTGTCACAGGAGAGGACATCATGGCAGATACTGAGAGACTTCTGGGCCCCTAGCTTTCTGGATACCTCAACCCATACCTCCTATCTCTCCTCACTCACCATCAGCCTTTGTTCCTCTGTCAACTCCTGTCCTCTGCAGCTTGTACCTCTGGTCTTCTTCCTTGCCCTCTGGAATCACCAGTGTGGCCTGGGAGGCAGGGGCCCCAACGCTGTAGCTTTCTGATACTTTTGCTTTTATTGCTGTCACATAGAATCTTCTGTACTGATCCTTCTTGAACAGAAGACTCAGACCTCCAACTACCTCTTGTGATGTGCAAATGTGCTAGTAGGACTGTGGAGTCAAACATAGGAAGACCCAGCTGCCTGGCTTATTGGAAGAGTCTTCCAGTAGTTGCCTTACATTTACTTCCTGTAACTCTTTCTTCTACGTCTCCCTCCCTGATCTCAGCCTAGTCAGTGCTGGAATCTCACACTGTGAAGGCAAGGGGCATATGACATAGGCTGACTTTCTTCCTCAGCCCTTATACTGCTCAGTGCATCCTTTGATATTTCTTGAGTTCTGTTGGGTACCTTGAAGGTCAAAAGGAAAATATCTTTTCTTATCCAAGAGGGAATTAAGACACACTAAGACACTAAAACACTCTGGAGAGGAATCAACCAGGGCAGATCATCCCAGAAGAGATTTATGCAGAGGAACAGGGATTGAGATTTCTTGGAGGAAAGGAATAGGGGTGGGTGGGGAGGAGAAGGCTACAGCCTGAGCAAAAGGTCTGGAAGCTGGTGTTGACAATGGAGTAAGGAAGCATTATTCATTCTTCTAAACTGTAGAATTCAGGGCCAGGCTTGGCAGGATGTAGGACATATTTCTTTAAATAAATCCAGATATTTCCAGAAGCCTGGGACCTGTTCCAGTCATTTGAGCCCCACTTTGTAAGATGTAAAGGGAATTGAGACCCATCTTAGCAGTGGGATGTGTTGTGTGTGTGTGTGTGTGTGTGTGTGTGTGTGTGTGTGTGTGTGTGTTCATGGGGATGCATATGTGTGCATAAATGGGTGTCAGGAAGTATGAGTAGCCTTTATAAATCTGTTGTGGCTGTAACAGGCAGTTGTACCAACCATCACTCCTTTGGGGAATAATGGTGAGGTTTCCTGCAGCATCCTTGGCCCCTCAGCTCTTCGTTGCAATTTTCTAGGACAGAATGTTCCATTTGAAGGAGAGGGGAGGGTGGCAACGTGCCTTTAATCTGCAATTATACATTGCTCTACAGGAGCACAGAAGAAGTCCTTATTCCTCCTGCCTTTGCTGTGTGGCATCTTCTTGTGGCCCTATGGCTAAGAATATTCACATGGGAAGGGACAGCATAATGCTCTATGTGGAAAAGTGTGCAAAGCAGTGCAGAAAAGATGTTTGCCGTTTCCTTGTGTCTCTTCCTCCCCCAACTCCCACAGTAGCCTTCGTAAATAACTTGTCCTTTTTTTTTTCTGGGCCTGGGTGCTGCTGTTGAGTTTTTTGCTCATTGCTAGTGCTCTAACAATGGAACCACAGCTCCACTTCTGGCTTTTTAGAGGTTAACAGGAGAGAGAGTGGGATGGGAGCAGACAAAAGGAGAGAGGCGACTGGTGGGTGAATACAGACATAATACTCAATGTACATATGTGAAAATGGAACCAGGTAACTGGCTGGCAGGAATGTGTGGGCTTTGGATGGGAGGTGGACAATGGAAGAGGTGGCAGCACTCTACTCATAAATTGGCATGTTGAATTGAAACCCATTTATACAACTAAAGATTTTTTTTTAAAAGACAGGGATGGATATCGTGAGTGGAGAACTGAGTTAGATGGTACTTAAGATCAGTTGTATGCTTGTCCAGTTGTGTGCTCGTCCAGCATGTGCTTCATAGAGCAAATGAAGGGATGAAAGAAGGGACTAGGAGTTTACTGAGGAGAACATTGAGGAACAGAGATGTAAATACAGCTTTGATAAAAGTGTTAGTCTGGCATGGTGGCTCAAACCTAGAATCCTAGCTCCTGGGGAACCTGAGATTTGGGGATGCCAATTCCAGGCCAATCTAGGAGAGAACTTCCCAGGGCTCCATCTCCACCCCTGGCCGGGCCATGGTGGCTGACACCTGTCATCTCAGCTTCTAGGCAGAGGGATCACAAATGGGAAGACCCTGAGCGTGAAGGAAAGCCTATCTCAAAGAATAATCCAAGCAAAAGGGGCCAGGGGAGTGGCTCAAGTCCCAGAGCACCGGCAAGGCCTTGAGTTCAAACTGTAGTATTGCCAAAATCCAACCCAAAAAAGAAAAGTTGAATTAAGGGCTGCGTCAGGATGCTTGACAAGGTGGAGAACCTGTTGAAGAGCCAAAACCGCGTGTGACTCAGCAAAGACCGCTTTGCCAGGAATGCCAGTGGTCATTTTGATGACACCTGCCCTTCCTATCAATAAGCATCATGGCAGCCACTGCGGTCCTTGGCCTAGCTCTGGGTGGGGTATTTTCGTGAGGGTCTCAGAGCCCCAGGGAGCGGAAGGGGAAGGGCAATGTCTGGCGGTGTCTAAGCAACGTCTGGCCGAAACGCACACGTGGAGAGGATTCTGGGCCGTCACAATGCGGTAACTCGCAGTCCGTGGGCTGGAGGTTCGCAGTGGCAGAGGTACCGGGCGCCTGCGCAGTGTGTCCGCGGCAGCGCGCTCTCTGGGAGCAGGGAGACCCCCGCCTCCGTCCCTCATCCTCTACCTTGGACGCGCACGCAACTGCGCTTCACCTCACTCAACCCCTACTAGAGCTGCTGACGAAGGCCGGCGACGCGGTGGGCTGTGGGGCGCGACTCCGTGAGGGGGCGGCGGAAGCGACGCCTCCAATCAGACGGCGGGCTCGGGACCCTCCGCGCGCCCGAGCTGCGCTGCCCGCCCTGCGGCCCGAGTGACTGGCTGCCTGACGCCGGCCCGCCCCCGCGCCCGCGCCCGTGCCCGCCTCCGCCCGCCTCATCTTCCCCGCGGCTCCGCTTGGCTCGCAGCAGAGGCGCTACCGTCTCCAGCCGCCCGCCCTCGTTCGCTGCGTCGCTCGCTCTCTGGCCCGCCTGCCCGAACGCCCGCCCGGCCTTCTCGGCAGTCGCAGCCGCAGCCGCCACAGCAGCTCCCGGTGTCCGCGCGCGGCCCGCAGGGCGCAGCCGGCTCCGAGGATGAAGTGCAAGCCGAACCAGACGCGCACCTACGACCCCGAGGGCTTCAAGCAGCGGGCGGCGTGCCTGTGCTTCCGCAGCGAGCGCGAGGACGAGGTGCTGCTGGTGAGCAGCAGCCGCTACCCCGACCGCTGGATCGTGCCCGGCGGCGGAATGGAGCCCGAGGAGGAGCCGGGCGGCGCGGCGGTGCGCGAGGTGTACGAGGAGGCGGGCGTCAAGGGGAAGCTGGGCCGGCTGCTGGGCGTCTTCGAGCAGAACCAGGACCGCAAGCACCGCACCTACGTGTACGTCCTCACCGTCACCGAGCTGCTGGAAGACTGGGAAGACTCGCTGAGCATCGGCCGGAAGCGCGAGTGGTTCAAGATCGAGGATGCCATCAAGATCCTGCAGTGCCACAAGCCCGTGCACGCCGCGTACCTGGAGAAGCTGAAGCTGGGCGGCTCCCCGACCAATGGAAACTCCGTGGCCCCGCCGTTGCCTCCGCCCGAGAGCCAGCCTCAGTAAGTCCAGCTCCCTCCCGCGCCGACGCTGCGGTCGTCGCCCCCCCCCCCCCCCGAAAACCGGTCCCTCCAGCCCGCAGCCCTCGGGAGCCCCTCAGCTGCCATGTGCGTGCGGTCGGTCGCGCGGGCAGGAGCAAGGCTTCTTTTGTTTCCTTGGCAGGCGGACCTCCGAATCACGCTGCGAGCTGTCTGGCTTGCCAGGCTGCTCGCAGACAGTTCGCACGTTTTGCAGACGCGATGGAAATATCGCTTCTTGGTGACACTGCAGTGTCTCCCTGAGGCCCGCCGGCAAACCATTGCCTGGCAAGGTGCCTTCGCGGCCGGCCCTGCTTGTGGGGGGCGGGGGCGGGGCGGGCCCGCTGATGTTTTTGTTTGGGTTCCCCCCTTCATTTCCATATGTTTGTGCGTGAGTATGCGTGCGCATTTCTGATGCCAGGCTACTGCTGGCTCCTTCCTTGCCTGGTGGAGGCCTTTAAATTCCAGCCGGCCTGGTCAGGGTGGGCATCTCCTGTTGTTTTCTCCTTCAGCAGCCTTCCTGCTTGTCAGCGATCCCTTCTGGGGTGGGAGTGGGTTGCAAGAATCCATTTTAAAATTATAAAGAATAAAAAAGGGGGATTGGAAATTTTGCGTCTTATGTAATTTTAGCTTCAGAGATGGGTTCTAATATGCTCCTGGCAAAACAATTCTTTGTCTATTTGTATGTAGACATTGAGAGAGACAGACAGATGACTGGATTTTGAGGAAATTTTCACATTGGATAATTCCTCACTGCTGACTTGACACGGCCATTTCCTCTAGAGTTTACAAGGTTTTGCCCTATAGAATAGGTATTTCTAGGTAATCGCTAGGGAAACACATCTTCCCGTGAAACCTGTGTTCTGGACTCTCAAGTGCCAGGTTTGGGTGGCTAGAAGAACCCTGGTTCTCTCAGGGTGCATGTGTGGTGGGAAGTGGTCTCTCATATTTGTCTTTATTATAAACCCAGTTAAACTTTGCTAACTCAAGCAAGCAGAGGAGTGTGAGCCTTCATAGTGACTGTATCCTAGTTGAGTAAGTTAATGCTCCCCCCCTCAGCTGTCATCGGCTTCCCAAGACCTTAGGACACCCCAGCAAATGGGACCTGGAGCAAATGTCTTTGGAGCCCAAAGTTGGTTGTGCTCAATTTTGAGTACTCGCATTGGCTTTAATACTTGCTTAACAACGAACACCCCATCTAAAATACCTGTCTCTTTTGGAACTTCCTCTATTCATGGAACTATGTCTGAAGTTAGGTGGAAGGAAAGCCTCCTTTAGGAACTGAGTATTGAAGTTGTTTTATATTTATAGCACCCTACAATATATCATGTCTCTTTAAAAAATTGTGGGTAGGTATATTGGGTCACTCAGTTAATTTATTGGGGCACTGTTATGTAGTCTGTATTAAGAAAGTTGGGCAGAGTGGTATCTAACTTGTAAATTCTTCTGTAAATCATCTTCTTCCATAACCACTGAGAAAAACTGTACTTAATGAAGAGAAGAGTAGCAAATATCTTTCTGCATATAAACAACACTTTAACAGAAATTCTGCAACCCAATATAAACACACATGAATAAAACATTTAAGTATGTGTTATTTACAGATTAACTTTTAAACACTTTACAGTCACTTTTCTATTGAATATCTCCTTTAATTTTTTGGTTATTCTGTTTTTAAATTTTAGGTTTGTTGGGTTGTTGTTGGGTTTTGTGCCAGTACTGAAGCTTAAACTCAGGGCCTCATACTCTAACTTGAATTTTTCACTCAAACCAGTTGTTCTAACAATTAAGCCACTCCTCTACTTCTAGTTTGTTTGCTGGTTAATTGAAGGGTCTCTAAGATTTGTCTGCCTGGGCTGGCTTGAAATGTTCCTTCAGTCTCAGCCTCCTAAGTAGCTAGGATTACAGGCCTGAGCCTTTAAGTTTTTCTGTTTTTAAAAATAAGCTGTTTGAGTAGAGCGCTAGCCTTGAGCAAATATACTCAGGGATAGTGCCCACAGTTACCAGTCCCTGAGTTCAAGCCCCACAGAACCAAAAAAACCAAAGGTGTTTGCCCTATATAAATGTGTAAATAAAATGTATGTAATTAAAATTTATATTGTCAAAGGGATGGGAAGATTAGAAAATAACCTTTTAAATTATTTTCTTTAACAAATCACATCTAAAATTCCATGTTCTAAATAATACAAAAATATTGTATATGGTTGTCAATAATTATCCAATAATCCAAATTAACTTATTGATACTCTCAGTAACCTGGCACTCTTCAAACTATGCAATATTAGAGAAACTAATTTTTTGTTGGGCAGCTCAACTTTTGCTTAGAATTCTTAGAGATAAAAAATGCCCACTATTACCTTTTGGCCTTTGAGCCAAAAGGTATTTATTTCACAATTGTTAAAAGGATAATGTTGCTGTTAATCAACTTTTCAGTGTTGTTAACCTGTATATATTTCCTGTGTTTTAGTCAAAAAACATTCGGATTGAGTACTACTGATCTCTAAGATTTTCCTTAGCACCCAGATATCTTTATGCTATTTGTAAAGCTCCCAAGGCTTTCATTCTCAAATTGCAACATTTTACAGTTATCACACTTTAAGACTTCAAATTCACGTAGGAAGCACTTGTGAAAATGCTTTAGAAGTTCAGTCTAAAAGAAGAAAAATTAAGTCAAAGGGCCCAAACAACTTTTCATTTTAAAAGAGTAATCCAGTCATTTTCAGGGTAAAACATTTTACAAAGTTATAGACTAAATTATATCTATGACCTCCATTTTTAAAAAGGTAGATGTACAAGAAGGACCCTTCTATAGTATCCATGCATTTTATATAATGATTACAGGAAAGTGTACAGCTGAATCTTTCAGTTCATTCCTCTCACCCCAAATCCAATGCAAATTAAAACTGTCAGACATAAAGTAAAAACTTGTTTTCAGTATGGTTTTTTAAAGGGTCAACTTTTCCTTTACTTGGACAGGTGCCTACTTTTATTCTTTAAAAGGCTCGAAGAACACATGTTGGAGTAAAGGTAAAATTTTAAATGCATGTTACAGAATTAACATGTATTTCTTAGCAACCTATATTCTGTGGATTAGATTACCACTCAAAGACATAACCGTGAGGAATGGCTACAAATAATGCTTTTGTATAGTTTTGAGAGAACTGTAGTAAAGAGCTCAACAGTTTTGTATTTAGAAATACTAGTGAAACTTAAAAGTATGCAAGAGCCAGAACAGGCAGCTTGTGAAGTAGTGGCAATGTTAGTAGCCCTTTGGAGACTTTCTTTGACTTCTCTTTAAATGGAGTTCGTTTGTAACAAAGCAGTTCCTCTCTCAATAGAGAACCTGAGACCTGTTGGTGAAAGTGCTGGCTTCAAGCTAGGCACCCTGTCACTCATGGCTGTAATCCTCAGGAGGCTGAGATCTGAGGATCCTGTTTCAAAGCCACTCTGAGCAAAAAGTCCACGAGACTCTGATCTCCAATTAACCAATAAAAAGCCTGGACTAGAAGTGTGGCTCAAGAGGTAGAGTACAAGCTTTGAACAAAAAAGAAAAGAAAAGAAAAATACTGTTTTAAGAGCCTGTAATACTAACAGCAGTTGGCTTTTTTTTTGTTGGTTGTGGGGCTTGAACTCGGGGCCTGGCCACTGTCCCTGAGCTCTTCAGCTCAAGGCAAGCACTCTACCACTTGAGCCACAGCACCACTTCCAGTTTTCTGGTGGTTTTTTTGGAGATAAGCGTCTCATGGACTTTCCTTCCAGGGCTGCCTTTGAGCCATGATCCTCGGATCTCAGCTCCTGAGTAGCTATGATAACAGGTGTGAGCTACCAGTGCCCGGCCTGAACTTTTTTTTTTCCCCTCATCAGTTTCTTTTGTAAAAGCACCATACAAACTGTGTTTTCAGCACAACTGTAGGTACCGAATCATCTTTCATACTATTGTCTTCTTAGAATATGAACTCTTTGAGGACTTGGACCCTGACAGAATCCTCCCTGTTTCCCCAGGGTCCAGAGTGATGGCTGAGATGTGGAGATATTTGTCCTTGTCACAGATTAGAATACTTATTACCAGTGTATATTCCTAATTTCTTAACTCTGTAATGAACCTGGGATACTGCTATTTCCCTCAGGTTCTCCCCTGTCCTCACAGTGGAATTGTATTGGATAGTTCACTGAGGGCATTTTCAATATAAAGTGGTGAACTGTAGCAGATCCTCAATTATTTGTTGTCTAGAAGAACACATAAACCAGTAAGAGCTTATTAATAAGATTATCTCTTTTTCTAGGTGAATGGCATCAATATTGTTCAGATTTACTTTGAAAGAAGTATGTGACCCCATTGGTGACTGGAATTGTGCAGCACAGGTGAGCTCTTTGACAACACCAAGGACACAGCTCATCCTATGCTTTTGGACACTTCTTTCTGTTATTACAATGGCTACTTTCCAGGTTGTTGCACTACCACTGTATCTGTACAAAATTCTATTTGGGCACTTGTGGCCTTTTTGTGCTCTTATGATTATGTGTCTTATGATTATGTTATTTCCCAAAAGATATGACCTTGAACGCAAGAAACCTGTTTCCTTATTCTGTTTTTATATATCTAGTATATAAGACTTCACTTGATAATGCAGTAGACATCACTGACGATTTGTTTAAATAATTTGTATTTTGTAATGACACTGAGTGGTAAAACATTCCCATTCTAATCTGTCTAGCATATATGTGGCTTTTGTATATCAGGTGTCACACAACTACTTCAAGGCAGCTGTGAAGTATTAGCAAAAATTCTTTCTCATATGTGGCATCCCAGACATTATGTACCCTTCGATGCAGTACCCTGTACCTTCTGTGAAATACATTTGCCAAACTTTTGAAATTGCTTAAATTTTATCATGCCTCTAGACATAATTCCCACTTCATAGAAAATGCAGGAGACAGAAACATATTCGTCTGCACCACACAGATGAAATCATCAGAATCCTAATAGGAAACACCATATACAAATTATCTAAGTTTGTTCAGTAAATAGATCTCAAGGACGAAAGAAAGATGGAGATTAAAATCATAGATTGAAAGTGGCTTTAGAGACATTACACTGACATGAGCTTTATTGGATCCTGAATTAACTAAAATGTAAAATGAATACATTTACAGAACAATCTGGGTAATTTGAGCCTTGACTGGATATTTGGTATTAGTTGTTATAATGGTACTGTGGTTTTGTTGGAAACAAGAGCTTTAATATACATCCAAATATTTACAACTGAATGACATCGGAGATTTCCATCAAGAGTCTCTACATTAAGTGCATTGAAGATACTGAAAGAAGATTGGCCTTTAAGATTGCTGAAGTTTGGTTGGCTAAATGACAGTTCGTATATATGTTCATCTCTACTTTTATATGTTTGCCATTTTCCATAATAAAAAATTAATAAAAAGGTTGGAATTATTTGAGTCCTTCCAATTAAAGTAAATGCATAAGTTTTCCTTTTAATGTTCCAGGCAAATATGAAGTTTATCCTTATTCATACCCACTAGAAAATGAGAATGGGCTTGGCAACATCATTTCACTGTGAAAAATCAGAGCCAGGCATTAGTGGCTCATGTCTATAATCCTAGCTACTTAGGATGCTGACATCTGAGGGTCTCGGTTCATAGCCAGTCTTTAAAGACAAATCCTCAAAACTCTTTATCTCCAATTAAACAGTAAAAAACTTGAAGTAGAGGCATGGCTCAAATGATAGTGTCAGCCTTGATTAAAAAAAAAAAAGCTAAGTAACATGGCACTGGTGGCTCACACTTGTAATCCTAGCTCCTCAGGAGGCTGAAATCTAAGGATCACGGTTCAAAGCCAACCCAGGCAGGAAAGTCTGTGAGACTCTTATCGCCAATAAACCACCAGAAAACCGGAAATAGCACTGTGGCTCAAGTGGTAGTGTGCTTGCCTTGAGCTGAAGAGCTGAGGGACAGTGCCCAGGCCCAGAGTTGAAGCCCCATTACTGGCAAAAAAAAGCTAAGTGACAGCTCTTAGGCCATGTGTTCAGGCCCTAGTACTGGTGTGTGTGTGTGTGTGTGTGTGTGCGCGCGCGCGCGCGCGCACACACACACACACACACCCAGAGGCAGCATCACCAAGAAATAAGCTTATAGAATCCATATAATGCCATTTAAAAAATAATTTTGGGGCCAGGCACCAGTGCTCACACCTGTAAACCTAGCTACTTAGGAGGTTGAATCTTGAGGATCACAATTTGAAGCCAGCCCAGGCAGGAAAGTCCAAGAGACTTCAATTAACTATCAAAAAGTAGGTTTGATCCCCAACACTACAGAAGTGATTATGCAAGTCTTAATTTCTAATCATTGAAATAGTAATTTTCTAAACCTCAGGATTTCTACTACTTCATTTTGTGTTAATACAATCCAAAGAAAACTGATTAGATACATTTTTAAGGGAGGTACTGGTGGCCCACAACTGTAAACCTATCTATTCAGGAGGCCTGAAGGTAAAGGTCCAAAACCAGCCCAAGCAAACAAATCCAAGAGACTCTATTTTCAATCAGCTACCAAAAGCCAGAAGCAGAGGTGTGGCTCAAGTGGTAGAGTGCCAGCTTTAAGCAAAGAAACTTATGACTAGTGCAAGCCCTAGTTCAAGAGCCAGTACTGAAACACACACACACACACACACACACACAATAAAATACCTTTTTCAAGTTTATCTTCCCTATTGTCTAGTCAAGTCATTTATTATCTAGATGGGAGTGATGGAGGGTTAAACAGGGTTAGAATGTTGGGAGAAGGGGAATGGGGAGGGGAAAGCTGGAAAAAATGAGGGCGGGGGTAACTTCAAAAGGAAATGTAGGGGCTGGGAAGGTGGCTCAGTGGTAGAGCGCTTGCCTTGCATGCATGAGGCCCTGGGTTCGATTCCTCAGCACCACATAAGCAAAAAGATAAAAGCCGGAAGTGGTGCTGTGGCTCAAGTGGTAGAGCGCTAGCCTTGAGCTGAAGAGCTGAGGGACAGTGCCCAGGCCCAGAGTTCAGGCCCCATGACCGGACCCAAAAAAAAAAAAAAAGGGAAATGTATTCATTACCTTATATATGTCACTGTAACCCACCTGTAACCCTGTTCATCACCTTTACAATAAGTAATTAAAAAAAAAAAAAGCCAGGAATGGAGCTGTGGCTCAACTGGTATCATGCTAGTCTTGAGCAAAAATGCTCAGGGACAGCACCTAGGCCCTGAGTTTAAGCCCCAGGACTGACACAAAAAAGTTGGTGGTGGGGTGGACAAAACCATCTGGTTTGTAGTTGTGCTCACTGTACATTAAGCTTGAAGATTTGAAGGGGGTGAAACAAGTAATCAGTTAATATTCCTGCTGCATTTTACAGGTACACACATTCCTTCAGTTCTGGACTATTTAGAATTTGCGAAGGCTGAGACCTATTTCCCAGGTAGTGAAACTAAGCTTATAACAATAGATCTGGGGTCAATCCTGATAGTTTTGTATGTTAAGAAGCAGGCAGAGGGCTGGGAAGGTGGCTCAGTGGTAGAGCGCTTGCCTTGCATGCCTGAGGCCCTGGATTCGATTCCTCAGCACCACATAAACAAAAAGAAAAAAGCCGGAAGTGGCGCTGTGCCTCAAGTGGTAGAGCGCTAGCCTTGAGCTGAAGAGCTGAGAGACAGCGCCCAGGCCCAGAGTTCAGGCCCCACAACCAGACCTTCCCCCCACCCCCTAAAAAAAAGAAGCAGTCAGAAAAGTTGGAACAGCCCTTAGAGGGAAGATGAATTTCTTCTAGGTGTGAAGAAAGTTGAAGCTGAAATTGCTCCTTCTGCTCTCTGCTTTTGGTCCATTCCCAAGAGTGAACAGAGTTCTCAATTCCAGAGTTTCCTTGTAAGAAGATCCCATGATATGTCAGAAAAACTTTCAGGTTGTTTCCTAATTTGATGGTGCTCTGATTTTAGCAGATTTTTTTAATGTATTGACATACAACTGCCAGAACTGTAGGTGATGGGAGTGGTTTGGAACCCATAGCTCAAAACTGACTTAAACAGAGGCTATATAGTCTATGTAAGTTACTCTCCAATCTTCAGTTTTCCCATCTGTATAATGGGATTTGCATACCCTCTATTTTACAAAACACACTTCGAAGAAACCCTTCTTAATCTCATGAGTGTGGCATACTCATATGATTATAGTACCCCACTATTCGATTGTCATAGTTCTTACCAAAATTATGTTTATTAGCCTGAAATATTTTTTTTTTTAATTTTTTTTGGTCCAGTCATGGGGACTGAACTCTGGGCCTGGGCGCTGTCCTTCAGCTCTTCAGCTCAAGGCTAATGCTCTACCACTTGAGCCACAGCGCCACTTCCGGCTTTTATCTTTTTGCTTATGTGGTGCTGAGGAATCAAACCCAGGGCCTTAGGCATGCAAGGCAAGCGTTCTACCACTGAGCCACCTTCCCAGCCCTGAAATATTTTTAACATAAACTCTGAGATCTAGTTCTAAGACTCAAACTGGGTCATCCTCATTTCTCAGAGTCTTGACAGACAGCCTGGAACATGGCATCCTTAGTGCCCATAACATGTTTATCCTTTGCCAACACAATGCTGTGATTTTTTTGTGCCATTCCTGGGGCTTGAACTCAGGGCCTAGATGCTATCCCTGAGCTTTTTTTTTTGTTCAAGTCTAGTATTCTACCACTAGAGCCACAGCTCCACTTCTTGCTTTTTGAGGGTTAATTGGAGGTAAGAGCCTCATGAATTTTCTTGTCTAAGTGGGCTTTGAACACAGATCCTCATATCTCAACCTACTGAGTAACTAGGATTACAGTTGTACACTACCAGTGGTCTGGCAGTGCTTTGATTTGACCAGGTATTTTTTTACTGGAAAGTATGAAAAACAAGACACCATAAGACTATAGACTGGCCTCACATCCCTCTTTATTCAGAATATCTTGTTTGAAATTCATATTTTTATGTGTCACACTCTTCCAATACCAATACATTCCAGACTTCTTAGCTTCATAAAATATGCAATATTCTATCAGGTACTAAGCTAGCCCTGCAGCTATGTTAGATAAGTTAGTGAAGGCTTCCCAAATACAAATGATCAAAGGATGTGCTATGCCCTTAGTATGTAACCAATGTATGAATATGAGTATGAAAATTATATAGTTTTAGGGTAAGATAATGAAACTGTAGCAACAAGCTAATACACACAAGGCCAAAGGCTGCCTAATTGTACTGTTAAAGATATAGAGAGCTAGGAAGTGGCGCTGTGGCTTAGGTGATAGAGTGCTAGCCTTGAGCTGAAGAGCTGAGGGACCGCACCCAGGCCCAGAGTTCAAGCCCCATGACCTACCAAAAAAAAAAAAAGATATAGAGAGCTAGCAAGCTGCTAGTACTCATGAATGTAATACTAGCTGCTCAAGAGAATGGGATCTGAGGATGCATTTTGAAGCTAGCCCCGGGAAGGCAAATTTTTTAGACTCTTACTGACAATTAACAAGCAAAAATCCAGAAATGGAGGTTTGGTACAAGTTATAAAATGCTAATCTTGAGTGAAAAAGCAAAGCAAGAGAGCTGGGCACTGGTATCTCATGCCTGTAATCCTAGCTACTCAGGAGACTGAAATCTGAGGATTATTGTTCGAAGCTAGCTTAGTCAGTAAAGACAGTAAGACATCTCCAACTAACCATCAAAAAGTCAGAAGTGGAGCAGTGGCTCAAGTGGTAGAATGCTAGGAGCCAAAAATCTCAGGAACAATGCCCAAGGTTGAGTTCAAACCCCAAGACTGGCACACACAAAAAAGCACAAGTCCCTGAGTTCAAGCCCTATTTCTCCCTCTCCCTCTCCTTCTCCCTCTTCCTCTTTCTGCCCCCTCACATGTACACACACACACACACACACACACACACACACACACACATACACACACACACACACACACACACACACAGAGCTACCTGAAGATATAGCGAGTTCTATAATTATGAGCCAAGAGGGCCTGATCCTTGGGTCCTATACCACACACACTCTGAAATATAAGAAATAGAGGGTGGATGATTATGCAAGTTATACAATCTTCTTGCAGAGGAGCCAAATCTGAGCTGCAGGGGAGTAGATTTCTGTTCTACAGCACAGCGCTTTCCTGCAGAGGAAGGGACAGAAGCCCCACGCCTCTTGCTTCATCAGATACTTGTTGATAAGAAACTGGTTCCTAAAACCTCCTAGGGAAGATAAGGCAGTGACTGGGAGATGACCTTCTAGCAGGTTTTCACAGTTTCACACCTTAAATTCTGGGGAATTACAAAGCATTTAACTAAGAGT